GCGAGTGCATCACTCTTGAGAAGAGCATTGGCAGCCATTTCACGAAGATTAGGAGTATCAGAAGAATAAGGATAAGAAGGATACTGAGTTTGTCGCAATACCCTGCCACTGTGAGTCTGGTTCTCTGATAGGTTTCCTTGTGGTGTCTGTGCCTGTGGTGTGTGCAAATCTTCAGTCATATCTTCTGCCTCACTTCTTTCATGTGATCGTTGGTCCGTACTGTTACGCACCTCTTCTTTTTTCTCCTGTGCATGATGATGCTCAGAGGTTTTCTTTCTCTCCATCATATTTGTCCTTTTCTCATATGCATCAGCAGCATGAGGAGGCACGGTATGTAGTTCTTTTAATTCTTCCATCTTAACAGAGGTATGAGTTTTCTCTGCTCCTTCTTCCATAATATGTATACTACTCATTACTCCCATTTTCTGTCGTGAACCTCCTTCCTCGTTATGATGATGCTCAGAGGTGTTACTTTCTTCCGCATCGATATGGTGTCCCTCCTCCAAGTGGGTTCCATTCACTTCCACTGTGTTGAGTAAACCACTGGTTTCGTGTGTACCCATAGTAACACTTCCTTCATTTGTTGGCAGTGGTTCCTGCGTGTGTGACTGTGTTTGCTCCGTCTTATTTCCTGCTGTTTGGCCTTGCTGCACAGCAAGAGATGGATCCTTTGTCTGTTTCTGTCCCTGAGACTCCACCTGTTTCTCATTCTCCTGTTTCATCTGTTCTTTCTTTTTCTTTTCAGCTGCAGCAGTAACTTCGGCGTCGAGTTTTTTAATGGCATCCTCCACATTAGTGATAGCAGCGTCCGCAGTGTCGGCAAATCTTCTAGCAGTACTTACCGCCTTTTCTGCATCCTCAGCTGCTTGGATGGCTTTTTCAGTAGTTTTCATATCAGCAAATTTGGCCTTCTCAGCTTCTTTCGTTGCTGTTTTGTAATGCTCTTGTGCTTGTTTACGAGCAGACGAGCCTTTAAATATAGTGACATCTGCACTGGCTTTAGTTTGGTCGGCCACTTTTCTTGCTTCAGCTGCAGCCTTCCTTGCGTTTTCAATGAGTTCACGACCTTCACTCCTCGTTTTCTCCACCATTTTTGGGTCAGCAGCAAGAGCCTTGACTTTTGCCTTAATGTTCCCAGCAAAAACGTTAGCTTTCTCCGCGGCCTTTTCAGCAGCCCTGGTGGCTTTCTCACACTCCTCTTTCAGTCTCCAAGTCTCCTTGGCCTTCTTCTCTGATTCCTCCAGAAAACTTTTCATATGTGGTTGAACAGCAGCATGAGTCACACCCACACAGCAGAACAGTAGGGCCAACAGATACAACACACGATACGGCAACATGGACATTCTTGTTATTAATACCACTGAGGATCACTGGAGTCTGCATGTGTGTGTAGGAAAAGAAAAAGAGAGAGAGAGAGAGAGAGAGAGAAGCAAATACAATTATATACAAACAATAATTCTAAGATGCCTACACTAGTACTCAGACGCAATTATAGCATACTCGAGAGAAACGTGAATCTGAAAGAATAACAACAACAGAGTTTGGAGCATGTACAGAAAGAAAATGGATATTGAGATGGATAAGTAGTTGTACTAAAAATATGCATACAAAATGTATCTTTTGATCGTCTTCTTTGATCATGTTCCACGTGTTTGAAAAAAAAAAGCGTTAGAGCTGTTCGTATCTGCTTCAATATATATATATATATATAATGTATAATATAAACCTGTAGCGTATGATGAGACAAGACAAAAAATGACGATATTTCACTTTCAATAGGTGCCCGTTAGAAAATTCGTGTCGAAACACTTCTTGTAGCTTGTGTTTGCCATTATAGATGCTCCACCTCTGCAAACACCAAAAGCAGCTGTAGTAACACCAGCAGTCATTGCTGTTGGGCACACACACCTGTGAATCCATCTTTTTATGAGCCCATTGAATGCCCGTATATGGCGTGACTGTTGTCCGCTGTGGAAGAAGTGTGTGTGTATCGATCTCAGCGGGGCCCCTTCGTAGCAGAGGGTCAACTCCCGGCGTGGCCCCACACACGCGATGGAAAACTCCCGCCCCTCACGCAGTGGGTTCTCGCCCCGCCGGGTCTGAAAGAGACGCCAATAGCCGTAATTGTGCTGCGGGGGAATCTCGTGCAGGGTGGCCGCAAACCCGCAGGCAACGGACTCCAGCGCCGCCTGATCAAAATATCGCGAGAATTGCGCGGCCCGCCGCCACTCGTGCAGCACCAGCGGGTCCGCCGCCGCCAGAAACCCGCCGTTGTAGCGGCCAAAGAGCATCTCGGATTCGCGGGAAATACGGTGGGGGGAGAGCGCCACAACTGTGCCCCGCGGCAGACGGGGAAGCTCACCCAGCAGCACCACATCACAGTCTAGAAAGGCCACCGTCTCTGTTCCAATGCCCCCATGCTCCACGCGCAGCATCAGCGCACGCTCCATCAGATTTGCCTTTTCCATCATAAAATCGGTGTGGCGTGATGGGAACCACACACCCCGCTGCCGCTCCATCGCCGTGCGGTCAATGGACCCATACTGGTCAAGGCAGGGCACCCACTCAATCTTCTTATCCATTCGGAATCCCGAAAAAGCTTGGCTTGTGGTTCGGCCCCTATCGTCTATCATCGAAGAAGTGCATCCCACAATTACAGGCAAGTCTGGGTGAAACACACGCAGACAACGCAGAAAAAGACAAAGCTCATCATCACACTCCGGTGTACCCATCGTACAGACAGAGAAAATTGGACTAGTAGATGTATCAACATCAAGAGCGGTTTTTTTATCGCTCAATTCAGCCTGCATATTGCCCCACGTGAGACCCTTTTCCCCTTCTAAAGAATATATTGGCGTAAATCCAAACAATACGTCAACTTCCAAACCACAACTGCATTCACAGAAAGAAGAAAAAGAAAAAATAACGAAATAGGGTGATGAAGAATGGAAATAAAAAAAATAACAAACATTGCCAAAGCACACAGAAAAGATCTCCAAGACAGAGTACACACTATTTTTAGACCGTTCAAGCAATGGAACGGCGAATCAAAAACTCCACGGTATCCCATGTCAGTCAACCCCCTTCTTCAAACTGTGCATTTACGGAGGCCATTTAGAGCCTTAGCGATGCCGAACCGCATATCCAGAGCAGAGATCTTGATGAGTGGACTCGTGTGAGGAACCAGAGTCGTCATCAATCCATCGTAGTCATCCATTTGATCACCATCGTTGCTCTTATGATACAATGTGTCCTCTGTGGGTGGGGCAAGTTGTTCCCGCAACATTCGCCAAGTGTTTTTCTCTGCATCATGCGGTACTTGTGCAACGCCATCGGTATTATTATCATTATTTCGTCCACGTTTACCACCACACATAAACCCTGAGATGGATGCTGCGGATGGAATCAACTCTCCTTCACTTTCCCCAGTTCCTCTTCTCGCTTGTTTTGAACAGAGCAGCATCCATACTCCCAGGGAGGCATGCGCAGTGGCTCGACGTGCCCCAACAGGTTGTGTTGCTGCTTCTTCTTCTGTGTATCGCTGATTCTGTGACACTGTTGCTGCAGATTGTGCCTTTTCATTTTCAATTTTCTCCAGAGCGTCTGGAAGACCAAGGCGGTAGACTGCAGCCATGCAAGCCTCTACAAGGGTCTCCACTATAATGTTTGATACACTATAAACCCATTTATTACCTGTTTGCTGTGATGACGACGTTGTTTGTGAAGAAGTATTGTAGTCACGAAGTACCATTGCTGTGCGTGCCCGTACCTCATTGAGTAGACGATGCGTTACCCGTCGTCTTATTTCTCTACTCTGTGTGGGTGCATATCGTCCACCATACGTAGTCTCATCATGCATGGAGAGTGGAAGCCAAACACCATACTCCCAACCTAGTAGTGTACAACCTGGCACAGATGTGAGGGGTGGTAGAGGACAGACTTCTAAGTTTGTTGCACAGGCCACAAAGTATGAGTGATTCTTTGCAAAACATTCCACCACGTGAATATTTTCACGCGCTTTTTCAGATGTTGTTCGGCTTTGAAGAAACTCTTGACGTTCTTCTTTTGTTTTTGTAAACCACCATCGAATCAGTGCAATCGGTGGTGTTGTGGTGGTACTAACACTATTAGTCTGCATACTGAGAGCAGAAAAAAGAAAGGAAAAAAAAAGAAACAAAGACGTAAAGAAGGAGGAAACAAGAAGAAGAATAAGAAAAGAAAAAATAAGAACTCCAAAGAGCTATTTTAATAAACAAAAAAGTAGAAGAGTTCTAATAATTTCATTTCCTGATTGTTTGTCCCTTCTCTCACAATACAGAAATACGCGCATAGAGGACCTATTTTCATTAATTCCCTGCACCTTAATGGATTCAACTTTGACTCCCTACGAAATTAAAAAGAAAAAATAAAAAATCTTCTTCCTCCTTGTCTTTTATACGTTTAAAAAAAATTCTATTCATGATGGTGATAAAAATAAAAATAATAACAACCATAAATATATAAAACGTATGTTTTTGGATTGAAGAAAGATTCTTTTTTTTTTTTTTCTTTTTAAATGAGGGAGATACAAAAAGAAAAGTGAAGGGTATGCCAATACAAAAAGAAAAAAAAAATGAGAGTAATTTTTTTTTTTCTTTGTTACTTTTCTTCTTCCTTCCTTCCTTCCTTCTTTTTCGTTTTTTTTTTCTTTCTTTTCTTCTCACCTTTTCTCCTTTCCTTCTTACACGAGTACACCTCTCTGATCTGCGTTGTCTGAGGCCTTCCGTGCCGCCTCCGCATCGCTGTTCACATTAGCGGGTGTCTGACCGTTTTGCTGAGCCACCTTCACGCCGTGTTTTCTCGCAAACTCCTCCATTGCCGTTTGTCTCTCTGTGAGTCGTTTGTTTATCTGTTCCACAGCCTCTTGAATGGCGTTAATGTTCTCCTCCAATTCCGGCAGAATGTCCGCAACCGTGCGTTCAATGAGAGCCCCACCAACAAGGCGGTGGCAGCGGCGATCACCGTTGAGTGGTCGGAGTGCGTCGGCCACCAGTTTGTGCTCATGTAATTCATTCTCTAGTTCAGAGATGCGGGAGACAAGTGTGAGACACTCCTGCCGCATCTGCTGATAACGCTGCACAATAGCCTCCTCGGAGAGATTGTTGCTGGCGGCGTTGCTTGATGTCATTGTGATAATAACAGTAGTAGTAGTAGTTGTAGTAGTATTATTATTACGTTTTATTATTATTTAGAAAGATGTGTGTATATTGGAATGCCGTTGTTTTTTTTTTTTCTTTTCTCGGTTCCTTTTCCCTTGGTGCTTTCTTAGAAATAATTGGTGGAGGACACAACAGAAAGAAGGAAAGAAAGAGAATATAAGAAGAAAACAAACAAACAAATAACTTATAAAAATAGAAAATAATAATAATAACAATAACAACCTTTATTTACGTATTGTATGATTGTTTATATATATATATTTTAAAAAAAAACTTACTCAATCAGATTGCTTCCCCTCTGCCAGACGGTGTGCCACTGCCTTTTCAAGTTTGCGTAGCTTCACCTCATTCACTTGCATCTTCTCATTTGCCAATAACAAAAGCCGGCGCACGTAGTCGTGCTGTCCAGTCACGTAATTCACACCATCCACAATAAGCGGCACATCCAATCCAAGACCAGCCGCATGGCGAATCGCACATATAATCTTCTTCCCAGGCGGCGTCACTCCACTGTTGCGAAATCCACTATCACTCGCCGCCGCCGAAAGGAGAAGTTTGGCACTCGACATGGACCGACAGGCCACGTGCATGACAAAAGGCTCCATCTTTAATGTAAGTGTACCAAATGTAGGGAGTTGAGGTGAATTTATCTTGTTGGAGAGAATACCCTCATGTACCCAAACTCCATCGATCTCCATCTCTGCACGTTTGATAGTATCTTTTGTTAATACGCCATCCTCACTACTTTCATTTATAGTGTGAGGAGCATTGGGATTATGTGTGTTGTTGGCATTAACATAACTACCACAGAGATTCTCTACAATGGTATCAATCTCTTGTTCTGTTAAGAGACCATGTTTAACGACTAACCATCCTTGTGCATCCTTGTGGCCTCTTTTCACTGCAGATCCATCATTGCCTGCGGGATCAGAGCGAGTCTCTGCAGTGGAAACACTATGAAAGAGAGCAATACGTCCACTACAACTACTCGTTGTAATGTAGTCTGTATGTTCATTTAATGTTTTCATAAGCGGAAGACAATCACGATCCACACCACCTTTAGGACTGTGATCACATGCATTACTAGCGAGGTTTGCCAAGACATGTTGTTTGTGAATTAGAAATTCTTTATCAAACTGTTTCTGCTTTATTGAAATACCGATATTGCAAATATCATTCTTACCTTTATTTTTATCTTTATCTTGTTTACCTTTCTTGTGATGATGGAGGTTCAGTGATACGCTTTGCTTATCATGTGAAGATCCTTTGGTTTCATTACATGCGGTAGACGCTGATGCCAATATCACCTCCTCCGACATTTATCTAATGTTGTTTTGTTTTATTTTATTATTATTATTATTTTTATTTATTTTACTTCTTTTCTTATTTTTTTTTTGAACACACCTGCGGCTTTCTGGTGTCCCTCTCAACTTGCCTTAAATAACAACAACAACAACGAAAAAAAGAGACAATCACAAAAGAAAACAATATATCTGTGTGTACGCAGATCCTTTTTCTTTTTAAATCCTTCATCTTATCAACAACAAAACAAACACACACACATACATATAATCAAAATAGAGATCATATTATGTATATCCATATATATATATATATAAATGTAAATATTATACCAAAACACAAGAGGTCTCTCATTCTCTCACTTTTCCCCACCCCTCTCTCTCTCTTCACCACACATATCACTAGAGGAGCAGAGAAACGAACGAACCAAACAATCATAACACTAAAAAAAAAAAAAAAACAGCGTTGAACTCCATCTATACGATGTTACTTGTGTTTTAAAAAAGGTACCACTGAAATAAATCGAAGGAAAAACAAAAACAAAAACAAAAAAAGAAGTAAATAGAATCACATTCTCAGAATTAACACACCACTGTTTCCGTTTTAGAGAAGACCTCTCTTCATTTCCACTTTTTTCTTTTTAATTATTATTATTCTTCACTGAGTAATCTTTTCTTTTTTTTTTTTCCATTTTTTCTTTTTTTTTTGTGTGTATGTGTATGTGTATGTGTGAGTGTGTGTATATAAAAATAAAAATACACCCCGTTGGTTCACATTAACTTCCCATTAACGATGGGAACTCGCAACGGCTTCCAGTCTCCCATTCTTCTTCCTTTTCATCCACGGGATCTTTTGCACTGCGAAATGCCCGCCATGGACAGAATACACACTTTGTAGATCGTTTGTGTTTCTTTCCCCGCGGCAGCAAACACTCCACTTCATCATCTTCATCTTCTCTATCCACAGCACCGGCACTCGCAGAGCGGAAGACCATATCTTTCCGACCTATCACTGCAGCAGCAGCAGCAGCAATAGTAGTAGTAGTAGTAGTAGTAGTAGTAATAATAGCAGAAGAAGGAAAAGTGGGGGAATCATTGATTGTATTCGTAGTTTTTAAATGAGATTGCTCCAAAGGGGAAACGACGGACAACAACATTTCTTTTTTTTCCTTTTCTTTTGGTTGTTGTTGTTGGAAAAAAGAAGGATTTTCTTCTGACTGTGTCGGTGTTCTCCAGACGGCAGCTTCTGTTGGAGACTTTATACGATGTCTTTCATCTCCATATTGTGTTAACATCGTTTCAGCCGCAGAACATATGTTTTGCCGTGTTGTTGATGTTGATGTTGTTGTTGTTATTGGAGTTTCATTTCCCGCATTGCCTTCTCGTGAACCCACAGTGAGGGATTGTAAACGAAAAGAAGTGAGGGACTCCGCGGAACGAGATCTTGTTGTTTGTGTGAGCAAGGATTTGGCTAGACAAGATTCACATGAATGAAATGCATTCATAGAATGGGTATTATTAATATTATTACTACTATCACTATTGTTATTATTACTTGCCCATCGTTTCTTTTTCTCTCTACGCCATTTAAGTAAGAGTGCCAACATACGTTTTCCACTTATATTTGGATCCGCAAAGGTACGATGGATGATGACATCTTCATGTTTCAGTACATGTTCCTCTCCCGCATCTCTCTGGGATGTCCACGGCATTAAAGAAGATGAATGAGGGCTACTACTATTACTATTATTATTATTATTATTAATATTAGTAGTATTAGCAGAAGAAGAAGAGGAAGAAGTTGTATCTAATGATGATACTACTACTACTACTTCCCTTTGTGGATTCTCATCCCGTAAAAGTGTCATTCCATGATCCATGCAATCCAGTAAATGCGCATGCACAAACATAAGAGATCTATCAAGATTCGTATTATTTACTATATTGATTTGACATGTATGAGCCTGTTCTAAAAGGTGTTGTTGAATTAAACGGATATGATGAAAGTGAGATACATATTTATTCCGTTGTGGAGATAAGGACATACACTTTGAACGAGTACAAAACCGTTCCAAATGTCGTTGTTCTTTCGTTATGCAGATAAGAAACGGTACACACATAATTCCACGTGCCTGAAGTTCTCTACATTTGCGGTACATGTAGTTTGGTAGTAAATGGACACCCTCTACCACCACGGCCTCTTGGCGAGTAATGATTTTCTCCAACATTCCATCCAATACTCGCAGAATGGTATCACACTGTTTCTCATAAGCCGAAATAATCATTTGCGAATCCTCCACCTCCTCCTCATCTTTTTCCTCTTCTACATTATCACTATTATTATTATTATTATTATTATTATTATTATTATTATTACACCTCTTCGCCGCCCGATGGGCCTCATAGGTGGAGAAAAACAATTCCGGAAAAGCCTCTCGCCGGAGTGTCTTGCGCAGTGCCTGGCGAATGGTGTCTGTGGAGAGCAGTGTGTCTATGCCCAGATGTGTGCTGATGAGACTCGCGAGTGTACTTTTCCCACAGCCGCTGGTGCCGCCGCAGAAGAGAACGAGTGGGCGGCGGTGCTGCACAATCGACTGCGACACCGCCCAGCGCGGGAGTGGGCAGACCGTAATGGATTGGCCGCGCAGCTCACGGCTGAGGAGTCGCGCCATCGCCCGGTCAAAGGCATTCTTCGATACCACCAACGTATACCCCCCAGGCGAATAGACATTACTACTAGTATTACTATTATCAATAGTGATAGGAATAGTAGTAGTAATATTAGTAGGAATATTAGGAATAGTAGTATCTTTTTCTTTTTCTCTTTCCGCGGCACTGGCGGCGGCGATAAGTTCTTCCATAGACACCAGTAAATTATGTGAATTGTGAGCCGCCGCCGCTGATGATGATGATGATGATCGTCTCTTTACATGACGGAGTGAAGTGTGCCGCATTACAAGAGCGAAATCCCCAACGGCACTATTCTTCTCTATAGTGGACATGATAGCACTGTTATTGTTATTATTATTATTATTATTATTATTATTATTATTACAATTATTATAAGCAAGTAGTAGAAAGTATTCCCAGAGATGAAGGACCGCCTCTGCACAACGATGCCGTTTTACACCACAAAGAAGTAATGTTTTACTCATTTCTTGTCGAGTAAGAATATGCTCTGGAGATAAATCACTACACACTTCTACTGTACTATTACTACTATTATGAGAATTATCCACCATTGGACTTTTCTCTGTAAAGATAGGACTACGTTTCTGAGGAAGAACTGCAAGAAATGGCACAATCGCTGCAATACGTATATACAGTGTATGCGGTATGGTTTCTGTTGTTAAAGACACATGACGTTTACAACAGCCACTGCTGTGATTGCACATACAGCACGTAGTAGTATTAGTAGTAGTATTAGTATTAGTAGTAGTAGTATTAACCGAAGGAGTATTAAAAGGATTCGTATACGCATCACTAATAGAATTATTATTATTATTATTTATACTACCACTATCATTATTATTATTATTATTATTATTATTATTATTATTATTATTATTATTATTATTACTATCATTACTACCACTACGACTACTATTCTCTCCCTCTCCTTCATCTCCTTCTGTCTCACCTACAACAACCTCCAAAGAGGAAGATAGAGTGCGCATCTGCCCCACTGTGTCCATCTGCTGCACCTTTATATATATATATATATTTGAAGAGAAGAAAAACAAATAAAAAAAAAGAAAAATAACATTAAAGGGAAAAAGAGAGAATTAGATGCAATGCACAGTTCGTGAAATAACAATAGGTTCAAGGAAAGGTAATAATATTATTTAAGAAAAGCAACTAGAATTGGATATTACAACTATTAAAAAAAAAAAAAAACAACACTGTTTTTTCTTGGGCTCTCCACTGTTACGATAAACTCAACTAAAAAAAACAAAAAACAAAGAGTTCACTTAATAACATCTTCTCTCATCTCTTCTTTAATTTTTTCTTTCCTTCTCAACTCATGAAGGTAGAGGTTTCAGGGATAATCGCCAAGGATAAATACTTCTTTTTCCTGCTCTAGAGCATTATGTATTTCCATTTCCCTTCTCAACTCCCGCAGTATATTCTGATGATGCTGTTGTTTATCTATCCACATATCATATTCCCTCTTCACTGCAGAGAGTCGCATCTCCACATCTTTTCTTCGCTCTAGTAGAGTGTTGAGTGACTCCTGCAGTTCTCTCTCTACACGTGTATACGCCGCCATTAGTTTCACACCATCATCTTTATTAACATTAATATTATTATTATTATTATTATTATTATTATTATTATTATTATTATTATTATTACTACTATTAGTAGAGCCAATAACATTACGTAGATACTGTTCCGTTCCATTTGATAATTCTTCCATAATACTCTTCTCACTCTGCAAACACTTCAATACTTCTGTCTGTGTGTTAAACTGTGTAAAAGCCATCTGAACTTCACTGTGTCCATGTGCGATGACTTCATTTAATTCCGAAATACGTAATGACATCTGCAGTAACTCCGCCCGTGTGGGATGTGTGTCTGTGCGGCGCAGTAATTCCACCGCCTGTTGATCTAATGAAGCCAATTCCACCTCCGCCATATGCAGACGATCCTTTTCATATAAAAGTTCCTTATCTATATCCTCAATAGTATTATTATTATTATTATTATTATTATTATTATTATTATTATGAGGAGGAGGATGTGTTTTCTCTATACGAGCGGCAAGAGATTTACATTCTGCTTTCATAGCCGCTATTTGTTGTCGTCCATCCTGTTTTTGTTGTTCAGCCAAACGTTGCAGTTCATCTCTTTGTTGAAATAATTCTTTTAATCGCTGCAGTGCGGCTGCACGTGTGGGATCATCCAATACACGTTGATGGACTTCATGTAATTGTTGTAATCGACTTGTTCGTTTATTCATTCGCCGTGAGGCCTTTTCTTCTCTTGTCTTTATGAGAGATTGTTTGTGGATGATATCTTCTTCCAGTTCCACACAATGTTGTTGGAGTTCCTGGCATTTATGTATATAACGTTCAGTGGCCTGTTGTTTGCGGTTTAACTTGGCCTTTACAAGAACATATTCCTTCTCACGTTTATCCTTTTCTTCTTGTTTTTCTTTTTCTTCTCTATCTTTCCCTTGTGGATAGACATTAGGAAGTTTCTGCATCTCAACAGGTATGAATATCGTTGGAGTTGTGTATATAAAATCCTGCAGTTTTGAACGCGATAGTTTTGCATCTCTTCGCTCACGGTATGCTCGCATGTACGGCATAAGTGTATCCAACATACACTGTTCCTCTTTTTCTTCTTTTTCTTCTTCTTGTTGAGATGATGATGATCCTTCTCTCTTTATATTCTTCACAATGTGTACGGTGTTGACAGTTGTAGTTTCTTCTCTTTCTATTGTGGACTCCAGTATAGTGTTAGTATTAATATTAATAGTAGTATTAATAAGAATGGGATCCCGCAGTTCATACCGCACACCGTACTCCAACAGCACAGAGGATACATGTTCCAGCGGTGAGGTATAAACAGTACGGCCATCTTCCACACACTTTCTATTCTTCTTATCATTATCATTATCATTATTATCTTTATTATTATTATTATTATTATTATTATTATTATTATTGTGATGTGTGATATCTGCAATGTATTGTCTCACAGGAGCAGGAGAACGATTGTTGGGATGTAATATCGCATACACCGTAGGCATCCACCTTTCACTCTCCACAGACATTCGATCCTTATTATTATTATTATTATTATTATTATTATTATTATTATTATTATTATTATTATTATTATTTTCTTCTTTTTCTTTTTCTTTTTCTTCTTCTTCTCCTTGTTGAGATTGTGGGTTCATTAGTGTGGATGTAGACAAGGTGGAAAGAATATGTGGAAGTGGAGTACCAAAGCGACGATAGAAATCCCACGCGGTGTGTTCCTCCACTGCCATCGCCTCTTCTCCCCGTATAGTCTTTACTCTTTCCAACAGCCATTCCACAATAGGGAGTAGGGAGAGACTATCTAATCCTTGTATTTGATGCGGGTGAATAGTATATGGACACTGCAACTGTTGAAGGGCTTTGCAGAGATACTCAGCGATGTGCAGCTTCACTCGCAGGTCCGTCGGGTTCTCTGTAAATAATAATAATAATGATGATAGTGATAGTGAGTGATGATGATAATGATAATAATAATGGGCTTGCCGTAATCCCCAAAGGAGACCACCGGTAATACGAGAGAAAAGAGGAATTGACTGCAGGCGGGCACGATGATAACCGGCATGAATGAGTAATTGCAATAGTTGAGATTCCGCCGTTGAGGTTGGAATAGTGGGATTATTACTACCAACAAGGGATGTAATAGTAGTCATCAAGGAGTAATTAATAATAATAACTAATAGTAGTAGTAATAGTAATAGTAATGTATATATATATATGTGTATTTATGTATGTGTATACGGTACCATACAAAGAGAGAGAGGGAGATAGAAGGGTTAACCCCCTACTTGCAGTGGAGGAGAACACCATGTAATGTATGAGATAAAA